TCATAATGGTTTTAACACAGTTTTCATAGCTTTTTGTGTACCATATATATTATTCCGTTTCATAATCTTGTGATAACACATACAACAACCATTGTCATCAATTTTTGTTTTTTTTTTTGCTTTTTTCTTAACTTAGACTTAACTGATGAAGCTTGTTTGTACCTATTTTACCTAGTGTCTATACTTCGGATTAAAATGATAAATTTGAATAGATCAAAATAAGATCTGAAATAATTAGAAGTTTTAGTTTTTTAAAAACTTCTTAATATTTTTCTTTTGAATTGATGATTGAACCTTTACTTTACATTTTTTCATTGGTTTTGCAATTTTTAAAAAGGTTGGAATGAATTTTTTATAGAAGCCGCAAAGACATAAAAAAGATTTGATTTTTTTTAGCTTTTTGGAACCGGAAATGTTTGTATTGCCCCTATTTTGAGAGGGTTTGCTTTATTCAATCTTCATAAACTCGCATTTGTTGAGCTGAAGTTTAAGGTTGACTACCCTTAGCAATATTAATTTAGCAATACCTTTTGCAAGGACAGAATATGTTCTTCTAAAAAAGTTGAGAATAGGACTAGGCAATGCTTGAACAGCAAATCTTCTAAGGGACATCTCTCTGCTGGTGCGTTCTTCAAAGCGTATTTGTAATGTCCATGATTAGTCAAGAAGGCTGATTTTGTTTCTTTTGAATAAAGTTTATTTTTGATAAGTTTTACAGCTTCTTTTAATTGGGGACACTAATTATAGTGTATACGTCTAAGTTTTCATTTCTAACCAGAAATTTATAGAGCTTTCCGTGGTAATCACACACCTTAATAGCCTTAATGGGCTTTTTGTTTTTTCGGAAACAAAAGTGTCCTGATTTATAAGAAAGTCTGGGTCAGATTTAATACTATCTTAGGCTTCATTTCATATAATACTGCCTGAAAAGCTGACATCAGGATAAGTTTCAATATTCCTCGAACTCTAGTTCGAGAGTTCTAGTTCTAGAGGTGCCACCACCGCGAGTTGCTCTGCGTCTACTTTTTATACCCTTGCAGAGGGTATTATAATTTTGGTCAAAAGTGTGCAACGCAGTGAAGGAGACATCTCCGACCCTATAAAGTATATATACTCTTGATCAGGATCACCTCCTGAGTTGATATAGCCATGTCCGTCTGTCCGTCTGTCTGTCCGTCTGTCTGTCTGTCCGTCTGTCTGTTTCTACGCGAACTAGTCTCTCAGTTTTAAGGATATCGAATTGAAACTTTGCACACACCCTTCTTTCCTTTGCACGCAGTATATATGTCGGAACGGCCAGGATCGGCCGACTATATCCTATAGCTGCCATACAACTGATTGATCGGAAATGCCATTACTTTGGTGTTTGTAAAGATAGAAAGTTGGGATTTTCTATGGCTTTTATATTTGGCTACTTAATGGCCTACCAAATTTCATAAGGATCGGCCGGCTATATCCTATAGCCGCCATATAACTGATTGATCGGAAATCCCATAACCTTGGTGTTTGTAAAGTTAGGAAGTTGGAATTTTCAATGGGTTTTATTTTTGGCCAATCAATCCGACATACCAAATTTCATAAGGATCGGCCGACTATATTCTATAGCTGCCATATAACTGAACGATTGGAAATGCCAAAGCTTTGGTGTTTTTATACCCGTTACTCGTAGAGTAAAAGGGTATATTGTATTCGTGCAAAAGTATGTAACAGTTAGAAGGAAGCGTTTCCGACCCTATAAAGTATATATATTCTTGTTCAGGATCACTAGCCGAGTCGATCTGTCTGTCTGTCTGTCTGTCCGTATGAACGCTGAGATCTCGGAAACTATAAAAGCTAGAAGATTGGCATTTTGCATGTAGATTTTAGGAGTTCCTACGCAGCGCAAGTTTGTTTCAAAAAGGTGCCACGCCCCCTTTAACGCCCACAATCGCTTATATACGATTTTAAAAATTTAAATATTTCGGAAATGTAAAAATGCAGTTTTATTGTGTTTATCAATACCTATCGAAATGTAGAAGAAATTTTTCAAATCGGACCATTCGTTAAAAAGTTATGCGTGATCAAAGTTTCTATCTCCATCTCCCTCGCACTCCCTTTACCTGAGTAACGGGTATCTGATAGTTGGCACCCGACTATAGCGTTCTCTCTTGTTAAAGTTAGGAAGTTGGGATTTATATGAGAATGCATCATATAAATAATTTTGGAGAATATAATTTACAGAATATTCTGCAAGGGTATTTCAACTTCGGCTCCGCCCGAAGTTAGCTTTCCTTTCTTGTTTTAGAGTGTAAACGCCAGTATTAGGCCTCGTTTACTCTTGGAGTGCGTTATCGGGTTTGAGGCTTAGTAAAGGGTCCTAGATATGGGAAAATAGTGGCCATAGCATTTTAAATACATTTCAGACCAATAAACGTATAACATATTACAATTTATAACTGCCGAGGGTGTCTTTGCTATTTCAAATAATCCTAGGTTATTTTTGTTATCAGTACTGTTGTTTTCCCTGATTTTGTTAGTTTTTACTTGCAAATGAAAACAAAGAAGAGCTGTTTTTTTACAGCCAAACGCAGATGCTCGAATTCGCTAATTGTAAACTATAGGCTTGTGTGTATACACGTTGAATTATTTTCTGTATTTAAATTTGTGTAATACTCTTCTTATAAAATTTTTTTTTTATTTCCTATCGTAGCTCCAGCATGTTGCTAAGTCTCGCGATATATATATGACATTTAATACAGTTCGTCTCATGCATTCGTTGATGACGAACGTGTCGCTGAGCAAATAAGTTTTAATCAAACTCTAACTGCATTCACGTGTTTTTTTGGCGTACCCAAACCTATTTTTGGACACTGCTCTGAAGTGTAGGCAAAACGATAAAAAGACAAATGGCTGAAACCAGAAGCTCTTATCCAGCAGGCAAGCCACGGCCCAAGCTCTGCGGGAGCCGAAGGGCAGAACGTTGTTCGTATTTAATTGTCGATGGGCAATTGCATATTTGTAAAAAAACTAATATTGCTAATTGACCAACAATGGATAACGACAAACTTGATCACCGTAGCTTAGCTGAGCTTAAGAGTAGAGAGATAGAAAAGTTGAGATAACATCTGCAGAGCTACATGCTCGACTAACTAACAAAGTATACACGTCGAATGGACGACCTAACAATAGTGGACATTAAATAGCAGCAACAACAAGCACTATTACCACTGACACTGTAACATTCACTAACGGCTGTAGTCAATCATTGGAAGCAGTGTACTTAGTAAAGCAATCACACTCCAAAACTAGATTCGACAGCTGTGCATTTTAAATGCCTATGCAGTATGGTTGCGCCTGCACGGAGTCATAAATACTCCTTGTTTTAATTTCATTATGAAATTTTTACAAAAAATCTTAAAAATATAAAAATATATAATTAAAAACTAACCACATCAGACGACTTATAAGACTCCCATAGCGCAGTTTATGCTCTTAGATCCTCCTGGCCACAATTGGCAGATGGGTTATCGGATTTATAAATATACTTCGCCCCGAAGAGGTTCGTCTAAACACTTGCTCCTCCTTCACAGTATGCTGTGAGGAGTCTTAAACTCCCCATAAACTCCTCAGATTGCGTTAGCAACAGCGAAGGAGACGGGAATACCGGAGAAATGAAGGGCATCCAGGTCAAACCTGAAATATACGGACCTTGGACCCTCATATAACAAGGTCAACGAGGTCAAACGGTAAACTGGTGGACTTCTGACCCGCACAAAGAGGACACACCGTGAATGAACGGTACTTCAGTGGACCATGGACCCGAGCTCGGCGAGGGAAATAACGGCACCTCCAGCGCCTATAAAAGGACGGCGCAAGCGCAGCTCGGGACAGTACGAGTGCGAGAATCAAAGCAGGAGCGTGAACGCGGAATAAGTAAATTGAAACCCAAGTGCCCAAGGATCAAGATCGCTAAGTGGAGACTCCGAACGACGACAAGTCTACAAGGCTGAGGCTTCAACGCTGAGATCCAACGGTGCTAGGTCGTGGTTCTACCTGCTAGGCGTTACACCTTGCCGGCAAAGTCCAGACTGAATTCCGGGAGCCAGGCGATAAAGGTGGCTTGGCGATAAGGCGAAACATCGTTTCACCTGCTAGACGATACACCTTGCAGAATATTCTGTAAATTATATTCTCAAAAATTATTCATATGATGCATTTACCCCACCCTTCTTTCCTTTGCACGCAGTATATAAGTCGGAACGGCCGGGATCGGACGACTATATCCTATAGCTGCCATATATCTGAACAATCGGAAATGACATTACTTTGGTGTTTTTTAAGTTAGGAAGGTGGGATTTTCTATGGATTTTATTTTTGACCAATCAATCCGACCTACCAAATATCATAAGGATCGGCCGACTATATCCCATAACTGCCATATAACTGAACGATTGAAAATGTCATAACTTTGGTGTTTTTAAAGTTAGGAAGTTGGGATTTTTTAAGAGTATTAAGAATGCATCATATGAATAATTTTGGAGAATATAAATTACTTAATATTCTGCAAGGGTATATCAACTTCGGCTCCGCCCGAAGTTAGCTTTCCTTTCTTGTTAAAATTGAAGACGTACACATAGGAAGACTATTGCGAATGTTTATAGCTATTAAACTAAGCTCGCAATCGGAATACCAACAGACGAACAGATGGACATAATTTTTTCCGTAGTGATGCTGACTTCTGAAAAAATTAAGGTTATAAACAATAACATAATAACGGGTTTCCATGGATACACGACTTTATTTTACCAGGGGTACACACCTCACAATTTCTTACATCATGAACTTGTATGTTTAAATTTGTTTGCGTTTAGCAGTCAAAAATGCACACTGATGTAGCTGGAACCTTAAAAAAATCAAAACGAAAAATAGTGCATATTTAGAAAGTAATTCATAGTATTTAATAAATATTTATTTCTATGCACTTTGGAATATCCTTAAAAATATATATATTTTAATTAAAGGGATTTTCTTGTGTTGACATCTTAAATGCTGGAATGAAACAATCTGGAGTATTTTATTTACAAATCCGTGGGACGACATATTGGTTTTTAAAGGTGTATTGTGATCAAGAAACCACAGATGGAGGTTGGACGGTAAGTATTTGAAAACAGCTAAAATAAAGTATATTTATAATTTATTATTAATTTAAGGTCATTCAACGGCGCGATGATTATGTGGACTCTCGGGAAAACTTTAACAGAGATTGGGCAGATTACAAAAACGGATTTGGTGAGCCAAGCAAAGACTTCTGGCTTGGTAACGAGAACATATACATGTTGACAAATAACGAGGAATATTCTTTACGAGTAGAGCTAGAGGACTTTGAAGGAAACAAGCGGTAAGATATCAAGACAAGATAAGTGAGACTTAAAGATAAACCATACAAAATAATATATATCACGAATATGTATGTACGAAGTTTGTATAGATTTCTTAAAGCTAAAAATACGTTTAAGTATTTGTTGTACAGTGATACAATTGATATAGCTTCCCTGCAGTTCCGAAATTCATCACTACAAAAATGCATCGCCCTTTAATCAGCAGCGGACTGCGACGCAGGCAGAGCCAAAGGCAAAGTCGACAGATCCGAGTGCGACGCAGGCAGAGCCGAAATTCTCAGTCGCCGATCGTAGGAAACGCAGAACAATTTCCATCTCCCTCTCTTACTCTGTCTCTCTCCCCATAAAATGAGCTGAGAGATGGAGGACAATGTATTAAAACTACAACGAACTTTATACACACTTGAAATTAAATTAGCATAAATTTTTTTTGTATTGTAGTCGTCGATTCTCTTTAATTATATTATTTTATGGAAATACTTTTTAAAAATAAAATGATTATGATCGCTTTGAAACGTATGGATTCCTTTTTTAAGTGAATTTAAGTTATGTGAATTTTTTGCCCTGCTTAAACGCTAAGCGAAACATGTAAAGACAAATTAGGCAAAGGAAAGAACAATAGGATTAACGGTGCCCTTGTTTTCAATTGAAGTTGTTTTCGCGGTTTTTACGTGCACTTGCATTTGAGAGAACGGAGAGAACAGATCGAAGCTGAGATTTTTTGTGAAATGTTATAACTAAATTTATCAGAAATTTAGGTAAGTGTTATTTTACTAATTATTTTAAACTGTACCTACACTTACTGTTAATATATTTATTCATTATTTAAGGCGAAGCTTAAAATAAAACTGTTGGCCAGCATAAACTAAAGCAGACTTGGCCGGCGGCAAAACAAGAAACGCAGTAAGTTTTTATATATTTTATAATAATTTTTCTATTTTAGATATACTTGGTCAGGAAAAGCCAGTACATAAAGCACGAAGTCAAAAAAAAAGAGCACCGAACCCGAAATGAACGAAATGAAGCCGAAACATCCTCAACACCTCCGAGACAACTGAAAACGTACATATGTAGATTGAATTAAGTTAAATTAATTAGTTATATGTAATGAAATAAATAAAATAATAATGAAATAATGTAATAAAATAAAAACGAAATTTATATGAAAATTTAAAAAAAAAATGATTAAAATCCGATAAGAAAGCGATGAATTACTGATGAAAATGCGATTAATTTCTGATTAAAGAATGATGAATTACTGATGAAAAGGCAATGAATTCATCACTCTTTAATCAGTAATTCATCACTTTTTAATCAGTAATTCATCGCATTTTATTCAGTAAATGCTTAAAGAGTGATGAATTACTGAAAAAGGATTGATGAATTACTGATTAAAGAGTGATGAATTACTGAAAAAAGAGTGATCAATTACTGATTAAAGAGTGATGAACTTTTCACTGATTTACTCCTAGGACATGCCAATGTAAAATTCATCACTAAATTGTATGAAGATTCATCGATTAATCATCAGCAGTGATGAATTTTTGGCGATGATTCATCGATTAAAAGGTGATGAACGGTACTGAAGGGCTCCTAGACAAAGGCCAATGCAAACGGAGAATGATGCACTGACCGATAACTAAGGGCAACGAATATATAAGCCTGATGCTGAAAGGCGTAGTTCCCGTACCGACGCGAGTTTATTGTTTTTAAACCCTTGCAGAGGGTATTATAATTTTGGTCAAAAGTTTGTAACGCAGTGAAGGAGACGTTTCCGACCCCATATATATTCTTGATCAGGATCAATAGGGGAGTCGATATAGCCATGTCTGTTTCTACGCAAAACTAGTCTCTCAGTTTTAAAGCTATTGAATTGCAACTTTGCACACACCCTTCTTTCCTTTGCACGCAGCATATAGCTGCCATATAACTGATTGATCGGAAATGCCATAACTTTGGTGTTTGTAAAGTTAGGAAGTTGAGATTTTCTATGGGTTTTATATATGGCCCGGATTGATTGGCTACCAAATTTCATAAGGATCGGCCGACTATATCCTAAAGCCGCCATATAACTCATTGATAGGAAATGCCATAACTTTGGTGTTTGTAAAGTTAGGAAGTTGGGATTTTTTTATGAGTATTAAGAATGCATCATATGAATAATTTTGGAAAATATAATTTACAGAGTATTCTGCAAGGGTATATCAACTTCGGCTCCGCCCGAAGTTAGCTTTCCTTTCTTGTTTCTATTTTTATATGACATTTTTGCAGTATAAAAGCATTTGACATGGTACTATGCAGATCTAGTTTATTTATGTAAACTTTAGTTCTTTCGCTACTTTTTCAATTTGAGCAATCTCGGCAAAGTCTGCAAGGGTATTAAAACTTCGGCTTCCCGAAGTTAGCTTCCGTCCTCGTTTGGTGTAAATTACTTTGCAAAATCGCGAACATTTCTAATTAGAAAGGCCGATGCTAGTATAGGTTATAAAATTATTCAAATTAAGCAACTTTTGTCTTCTTAGAAATTCATATAATGTTGTATACCCTAGAAACTGGAATTCAATTTCGGAAATCTTATGGGACAAAGCAGTAGAAAAGCGGGAGCCGGTTAGCGTTGCCTTATGAAATACGTTTTTATATTTAATCTTAAATAACAGAAAGAAATTTTAAATCAGATAACCGATGCGAGCATTGACACTGGGGCAATCTCATTTAATATGGGCACAGTTGTTACACAACCAGCATACCAAATACGGCTCACCGGCAATGATGCCATTGCATTTTATGGTAGACCAAAATAAACTCATTTTAGTTTGCGGAGGCTGTTGGTCTTCTACAATGGTGGTTCGATAAGTACTTAGCCTCCAAAAGAAAAACGAAAAATCTGGAGAATATGGTGGATGGGGTAGCAGTTCGTAGCCTTATTCGACCAATTTGGCCTTGGCGAGGGCGGAGGTGTGAGCCGGTGTGTTGTCATGATGGAAGAGCACTTTTTTCTTCGCCAAATGGGGCCGTGTTTTCTGGAATTCGGCGGCGAATCGGCCCAATAATTCGGCGTAGTACAACCCTGTGACCGTTTTGCCCCTTTCCAGGTAGTCGATGTAGATCAGACCTTGTGAATCCCGAAAAACAGTGGCCATCACCTTTCCGGCGATGAGTCAGTGTTCGCCTTCTTCGGAGCACGTTCACCGGGTGAAGTCCACTGTTTCGACTTTTCCTTGGTCTCTGGTGTGTACCAGTGGATCCATGATTCGTCGACGGTCACGAAACGACGCAGAAACTCCTTCGGATTGCACTTAAACAGCGTCAAAAACTGCTCTGAAGTGGTCCCACGGTTGCGTTTGTTGTCCGGAGTGAACAGCTTTCTCATGCCCAAAATTTCATGCAGGATATGACCCACGCGGTCTTTTGACATGCCTACTGTCTCCGCTATCTCGCGTATCTTCAATCGGCGGTCTGCCAATACGAGATCGTGGATTTTTGTCACGTTATCCTCCGTGGTAGCCGTTTTCAGGGCACCTGGGCGTAGCTCATCAAAAACCGACGTGCAAGCACGTTGAAACTCGTTAAACCAATTGTTGACGGTCGCCATCGAAGGAGAACAGTCACCGTACACAGCATCCAAGCGCTCTTTGATTTCCCTGCGCGATTTCCCTTCCAAAATCAAGAATCGAATCACAGACCGATATTGCGCGGACGTGTCCGCGTCCGATTCCACACGCAGTCAAAACAAAACTAAGAGTCCGATTCGGCTGAAATTTCGACAGTAGCCGTCTACGAGAATAGACTACACGATAGTAAATTTCTCTTGCGATAGTGACGCCATCGGGCGGTGAGGCTAAGTACTTATCGGACTGCCGAGAGTTTTGTTTTTGTAAAGTTCATTTGTACTTTTATTTATTTTCGTCGTTTCTTGCAAATAAATAATATGGACGTGATTATTAATTATTGTTACTGGAAATAATGTAGTGAATGTTGTTCGGTTCCATAGAGAGTGAGTTTCAAGATGTTTGATCTGATTTAAAATGGTTGGTAATATTTCTAAGAAGCGCTTCTAGGACTTCGAATGATAGAACTTTGAGTCGTTTTATTTCAGTTTTTATGACATTAAATCTGCACTGAGTTCTATACTTTTCTCTTGTTATAGTGTCGTTGTATTTGTATTAAATACGTTCCCCTCAATTGATTTTTTGCCCTGTTCCACGGCACTGTCCCATTAAAGACGTTGAGTGTGATTATGACATTGCCAATACTTTAAATTTTTGGATCAGAGTTACTAAATTTATATGCGTAATTTTTACCTTTAAGCAAGTGAGGGATTAAACAGGGGTTACTTAAATCGATAATTTGGTTCTGATTTTATGTTTTTATATTTAGTAAAAATATAAAATGTTTTCTTATTGTGTAAATTTTGAATTTGAGGTTAAATAATTCGTTATTGTCTGAATAGATAATTAAATGGTACTTGTATTTTTCAAATATTGGATTTTTGATATGGTGAATTATACTTGTTTTATTGTTTAAAGTTACCACATCTGTATGCCTTGTTGTTAGAAATAATATTGTTAAGATTTTCATAAATCTCTAATAAATCGTCGTGGTCCGGATTTTCGGCAACGTACTTTCAAGAAGATATAATCCGAAGGTTAGATATTTTTAGACGTTTGTTAAAGTTAATAGTGATTGCGAAAAAAGTGTCTAATGTTTATGTTATTTCATGTGGTAAAAGATGTTTGTTTTTAGTTTGGTGTTGGTATGGTAGGAAACTTCGTCAAGTGATTTTTCTATACTTTCGAGGCTTACCAGATATAGTATGATTTTAGATAAGGTTTTTATTTTCCCAATTCTTTCGTGTACTGGTTGGAGCATCTGTATAATTGTTTATCGGCTTTCAATTTGTCGACTATTGTCTTGTCTACTTTTTCAAATTTGTTGGGCCTTCTTTGGTTACAGAATGTATAGAAAAGTTATCTTCAATAATGGCTTGATTTAAGAATTCTTGGAATATGTTGTAAATTCCGTCACTTTTTAGACATCGAATGATCTCTGAGAATGTGGAATGGAAACGTTCTATTTGACTAGTTATTGCGCTTTTATTTATTATATTTTATCCCCAGTTGATCCTTCATCATAAATATCATTGAGTCGGAAATTAGTGATTGCTCATTGTCAATTTACGGTACACCGAAATAAAATAAAAAATCGTGTGTAGCCGGTTTCACATGTTTTATTGACTTGGATTTTATAATTCTACCCTGTGCTACTTTGGAAAATTTATTTAAAGCTGTCTGGGTGTCTCGAAGTTCTGTGTTTGGGAGATGCCAATCGTATTTAACTGTTTTGCAAGTTTCGTATTGTTGTTCATTTGTGATTTGTGATCTCTTTCATCATTTAAAGCAAATATTTTGAAATTTTTTTAAGATTCTCCAGTGCATTTCGATGAGCTCTATTATGAATTTTTAGTTATCCGTTTTGATAGGTCTCGCTTGTAATATATTTTACTCTACGCTGGGATAATCTTACTTTGTATTGACTGGAAATGGATGGGAATTTGTTCCATAATCTGTTTTGAGGTTTGTATTCCATTTATGACTGGATGTCCAAGACTTTTGTTAGTCTTTTTATGAAGCTGATGGGCAATGGGATACTGACTATAATTATTATCTCCAAAATGTAGAAAAATTTGATTCTTGAAAACATTTGTTGTAGCTTCGATACTAAGTATTAGTTTTTCTTCGGAACATTCACTACTACGTTGAGTTGTTTCAGAATTTATATGTGGAATTTGAAATAAAGAATTTGCTACTAGGTTAGCTTTTCCGGGTTGGTAATTCAATTTACATTTGTATTCATCTAAAAATTATTTCCAGCGTTTTATTCTTCCGTTACCATTCCACTAACTTATAGGACGTGTTAATGGTTAATGGTCAGTCAAAATATTCATTTTTGTCCCTCCACATTCGTAGTTTCTTAGAGATTGTAATGCCCAAATTACGGCTGGCATTTCTATTTCGTTTCTTGGGAAATTTTCCTCGGCCTTAAAAAGAGTTCTGAAAATAATTTTTTATATTTTTGAGCAAGAACTGCGCCTAATGCGCATTTATTCTTTCATTTATTAAATGCGCTTTTTGCTTAGGGGTTTATATGAATTAACTTTTTACTTTACATGTTTTTAGAAATTATCTTAACATTTAGGTAAGTGGTTTGGCTAACTTGGCATTATCATCAATAAAGCTTCTATAGTAACCGAACATACATACATATGAAATATCGCAAGTCTTTTAAAGTCTTTTTTTCGTACAAGGGTATTATAATTATTATTATATTATATACCTCTATATTTTGCTTTTGATAAATTCCCTCCACATTCGTAGTTTCTTAGAGATTGTAATGCCCAAATTACGGCTGGCATTTCTATTTCGTTTCTTGGGAAATTTTCCTCGGCCTTAAAAAGAGTTCTGAAAATAATTTTTTAGATTTTTGAGCAAGAACTGCGCCTAATGCGCATTTATTCTTTCATTTATTAAATGCGCTTTTTGCTTAGGGGTTTATATGAATTAACTTTTTACTTTACATGTTTTTAGAAATTATCTTAACATTTAGGTAAGTGGTTTGGCTAACTTGGCATTATCATCAATAAAGCTTCTATAGTAACCGGACATACATACATATGAAATATCGCAAGTCTTTTAAAGTCTTTTTTTCGTACAAGGGTATTATAATTATTATTATATTATATACCTCTATATTTTGCTTTTGATAAATTCACATCCTTCAATACTGGGTTTCTTTAGGATACCAAGTTTTGCTAAACGATTTCTGCCGTGAGTTTCTTCGCCTTTGCCGAAAATAATTATATTATCAATGTAAATATAACAAATTTCACCATTTTGGGGCCGTAAAATATCATCAACTGCAATTTGAAAAATTGTCCGAGAACTTTTTAATCCAAATGGTTTCTACTAATAAAAACCTTATTATACCCTTGCAGAGGGTATTATAATTTTGGTCAGAAGTTTGTAACGCAGTGAAGGAGACGTTTCCGACCCTATAAAGTATATATATTCTTGATCAGGATCAATAGGGGAGTCGATATAGCCATGTCCGTCTGTCCGTCTGTCCGTCTGTCCGTCTGTTTCAATACCGTTTGCGAGCTCAGTTTAAAAGCTAGCGATCTGAAACTTTCCAGTCGTCCTAAAACAAGTGTACGCAGATCAAGTTTGAAAACCGCCCCGATCGGATGTCTATATCCTATAGCTCCCATAGGAACAATCGGATATAACTTGCAAGAATGGAAGATATTTCGCGCAGTGTAAAAGCTATTGACATAAATCTTTCCAAATCTTATTTTTTTATGCGTACCTTGATCAGAGTAAAAGCGCGTGACGATCGGACGTCTATATCCTATAGCTCCCATAGGAACAAAAGGGTAAAATCGGTTAAAATTTAATGATTTTTAGGATATTTCACGCAGTATACAAGCTATTGACATGAATCTTTCCAAATCCTATTTTTTTATGCATACATTGATCAAGGTGAAAGCGCGTGCCGATCGGACGTCTATATCCTATAGCTCCCATAGGAACAATAGGGCGAAATCGGTCCAAATTTGATGATTATCAGAATATTTCGCGCAGTGTGTAAGCTACTAACATAAAATTTTCCAATTCTTATTTATTTACGCATATCTTGATTAGGGTAAAAGCGCTTGCCGCTCGGAAGTCTATATCTTAAAGGAGATAGGAAAAATTGTTAAAAGCTGCGAAAGTATCCCTTTTTTCTATTTGTATATGACATTTTTGCGTATAAAAGCAATTGACTTGAAACGATGCAAATCTAGTTTACTTATGTATACCTTATTCCTTTCGCTACTTTTTCACTTTTAGCAATTTCGTCAAAGTCTGCAAGGGTATTAAAACTTCGGCTTGCCGAAGTTAGCTTCCGTCCTCGTTTTTTATTATTTTCAATGCTGTTTTTTATAAATAGGATTTAATTGAAACCATTTTCCTTTTGTTCGCTCGGAGTTCCACGGCCCATTTACCCGCTTAACCGACCGAGGGGCGCATTTTCGCGACAAGATAGACGAGGAAAAAAGTAATGGTAAGATTTTGTAGTAATAAAGTCAGTATTAATCGTTTTAGGTGCGACAGAAAGTCAAGATTTGGGATTATAGGAAAAAATCTATTATAGTCAGAACATAATACTCTGAAAGGGTCATGCAAGGTATAGTTAGATCTACAATGATTTACTATTAGGGGAATATTATATTGTTCCTTTCGCATTATTCCATCGATAAATACCAACGGACCAACTCCATTTATATGGATGCACCAACAGACCATAATTGACCCGCCACCATGCTTGACGGTTTGCCGCTCATTGTGTTCTAGTTAATCTACTTGGCACAGAAAAGCTTAGCCGACTTACTAAGTCGGTGCTGTCAATCTCACCATGTATAAGGTTATAAATGTAGACAGTACCGAGCATCGTTCTATGGTTGGCTAGGGAGGGTAAATTAATCAACAGAAGTCTACTAGAATAAGAATGTATGTTAAGATTTGCATCCCAGTTTAGGCGCCGTAAAGCAAAAAGGGGAATGTTTTTTGTACTGATTTAATACGACCAATATGTATTCCGTTTTATGGACTCCAGACGGGAGACCAATACTCCAGAATCGGACGGACTGGCGAAATAAATAAAGTTTTAGTGACATATGGATCATCGAATTCGTTTGACCACATTTTAATAAATCCAAGCAATCCTCTGGCTTTATTAACCATGGACGAAATTTGATTGGAAATTTTAGTTAAGGGTCCAAGAAAACGTCAAGATCGTTTACAAGCGTTATTCTATCCAAAGAGCTGCCACTTTCTGCTCAAGTACTAAGAAAATTTTATTGTTACCCAATTGTGTTAAAACTTTATTAATATTGGGTATTGGATACATACACTAACGAGCAAAACTGTAACACGAGTTCTATACTCTAACTTCAAAGGTCTGTATCTTCAGTTCTAATTTATACACTTTCAAAATCTTAATTTTGTTTTGTTAGTATGTTCATACACTAAGTTTTAGGCCATTTAATAATAGGAATAAAAAAGCTGGAGCAAACTGTAAAATAAGTCTAATGTTACAGTTTTGCACTGCGGTCATTTTGTAAACAAATATTTTTATAAATAATTTGTAAATAATGGTTTCCTATTTCGTACCTCGTGGCCGCTTCCTGCTGAAGGCCGGCAATCTCAGACAGGTGGTGCAGCAACAGCACCAGCCGGCCCAGTTACAGTTACAGCCGATCAAAGGACCCCAGCCGCAGCCTCAGAACGGCAGCCTCCCGGTGGTGCGTCACTTTCGGCAATTCTCCTCGAATCCCGCCTCCAAGGAGGCACCACTCCACCACCGGCGTCCGCACCAAAAACAGCAGTCCAATCCCAGCCAGGAGTTGGCCCAGGTCCGGCGCAATATCCTATCACGCTGGACGGGCTTCCTGCTGCGCTGGGCGCCCATGGGCATATGCGTCTTTGGCGCCATCGAATGGCAGCTGCAGAAGCAGCGCTGCGAGCGGGATGGTCAGCCCAGGACAGCTTCTGAGTTGCAGTCGCGCATTTACTGCTCTTTGCCGCTGCGCATCCTCAGCCGCTGCTGGGGCTGGCTGGCCGCTTGCTACTTACCACCCAGTCTGCGACCCTATGTCTACGGCTGGTATTCCAATACGTTCAACGTCAATCTGAGCGAGGCCCAGTATCCGGAGTACGAGCACTACAACAGCCTGGCCGAGTTCTTCACCAGGCCACTGAGAGAAGGTGTGCGCACCATCAATCAGGAAGCTCCACTGGTCTCCCCCGCCGACGGCAAAGTTCTGCACTTTGGCAGCGCCTCGGACTCGCTGATCGAGCAGGTCAAGGGAGTAAACTACAGCATCGAAGACTTCCTTGGCCCGCTGCAGACTTTGGAGCAGGCCAATTCCGGCGCCTCCTACGCGCAGGCACTAAAGAAGCAAAACGATGGCTCCACGGAGCTGTACCAGTGCGTGATATACCTTGCCCCCGGAGATTACCACAGATTCCACTCACCCGCCGCCTGGACGCCCACTATCCGTCGTCATTTCTCCGGCGAACTGCTGTCTGTAAGCCCAAAAGTAGCTGGCTGGCTGCCTGGTCTATTCTGCCTTAACGAACGTGTCCTGTACATGGGCCAGTGGAAGCATGGTTTCTTCTCCTACACCGCCGTAGGTGCCACGAACGTGGGATCCGTCGAAATCTACATGGATGCCGAGCTGAAGACGAACCGTTGGACTGGCTTCAATGTCGGCAAGCATCCGCCCAGCACCTACGAGTATGATGAACTGGCCCTGGACAAAGAACCCACTGGACCGCCCAAAGAGTTTGGTAAGGGTGACCTGGTGGGTCAGTTCAACATGGGCAGCACCATTGTCCTGCTCTTCGAGGCGCCCAAAAACTTCAAGTTCGACATTGTCGCCGGCCAGAAGATCCGAGTGGGCGAGTCGCTTGGCCACATTGCGGGCACCAAATGAAAGGAATATCCCGAATCCTGTACCGAATCAGTGCAAAGTCCTGTCACCCGTCTGTTCACATCACTCGTTGTATTAGCATTAGACGCTCGTGTCCTAGGCAAATGTATTTTGTGAACATCCTGCGAAGCTAACACTGTGTATTGTTGCCATTTCTGTAGTCTTAAGCTATATTTTATACAATAAAACGTCGAAATATCTTTGAGAACAACAAAAAAAAAAAAAAAAAAAAAAAAAAAATGTGTCCACTGCCCTTTTAACTTTTTAAGTTCTTCTACACTATTTGACATACCTTGGGTATAGCATTGCACCAATTCGGGGGGAACAGCATTCCATACGTCCTTTTTCCTATCCCACAGCTACTCCATTCTACTTGGAGAAACTAAATTTTTCGCCAATTGCGATTTCACATAACTTCTAAATTTTTTTAATTGGATTCATATCCGGAGATTGTGGTGGCCACTACATGGACTGAAATTGTTGTTTTTAAATCCGATTTTTTTTACCAAAAGGGGCGTATGCTTTGAGTTATTGTCGTGCTAAAAATTGCATTTTTCAGTAGAAATACCCGTATTCCGAAAGACTTACGAAAGATTTTTTTGTAAAAATTTTTTGGCGAAAAATTTAGTTTCTCCAAGTAGAATGGAGTAGCTGTGGGATAGGAAAAGGGACGTATGGAATGCTATTCCCCCCGAATTGGTACAATGCTACACCCAAGGTATGTCAAATAGAGTAGAAGAACTTAAAAAGTTAAAAAGGCTGTGGACACATTATTTAAAAATTATTAATAAAAATATTTGTTTACAAAATGACCGCAGCACAAAACTGTAACATTTGACTTACGGTAAGGCTCACGCAGGAACTGGAATCTTAATCAGGGAACGCATTAAGCACCACTTTCACCAGAGGATTGCAACAAATTATTTGCAGGCTACATCTATAAAACTACAAGCAGGCAACGGCAGTATCACTATAGCCGCTGTCTATTGCCCACCGCGTTTTACAATAACTGAAGAGCAATTCTTGGACTTCTACAATTCACACGGAGGAGACTACAACGCCAAACAGACGCACTAGGGATCAAGACTCGTGACCCCCAAAGGAAGACAACTGTATAAAGCAATTATAAATTTGAGCAACAAACTCGACTATGTCTCCCCTGGCAGCCCCACATATTGGCCAGCTGACCCCAGAAAACTCCCGGACTTAATTGACTTCGCTGTGACCAAGAACATCCCAAGAAATTTAATAAGCGCCAAATCGCTATCGTACTTATCATCGAACCACTTGCCTGTTTTAATAACTCTCCTTCAAGGCCCGAAAGTAATCGAGCACCCCTTCAGGCTGACCTGGACTAGAACTAGCTGGCTAAAGTACAAAAAGTACGTAGGTTCCCACATTCAACTAACACCACAATTAAACATAGAGAACGACATCGACTTCTGTGCTGATGCCCTGGAGTCAGTACTCGTGGCAGCAGCCAAAATCTTAACACCAGAAGAGACAATCGTGCGTAGCAACCAATACAATACTAATCTGCAAATCGAACAACTGGTTCGGGAAAAACGACGTCTACGACGCGCTTAGCAAT